CCAATTTGCCTCCAATTTGCCTACCTACGCTGGTAACTAACTAGCTTGGTCTCCCCTTGAATGCTACAAACAGGCCCAACCAGCGATTGTCTTCGAAGACATTACAGTATGCAGCTTTTAATGAAGATGATAACGACACTTCGTTTGCATAACAGGGCCCGTTCGGTCACACTAGTACATAAGTTTTCACCCGTTCGATATTTACATATTTTCCAAAGTTCACCATGTGAATATAATAATCGCATAATTAACTGCCTTACCCCTAGTCCGCTTCACCATCACCATCGCATTAATTTACATCGTTAGATCAACATCACCCTATGATCTCAGTCCCACTGCTTTCGTCGTAACTGACAACTGCAACGTAAATAGCAAAAAATCACGATAGACCCCAAAACGCAAGAACAACAGCCAATTACCAGGAGATCTAATGTGTGGATGATCTAATTCCTGACTGGCTAAGTCACCGTCTTCAGAGCGCCCGCCTCGTAGCACCAGCACGCGCCCATCCTACTGGAAACAAAACTGAACTTCTTTCAAGTTGTACATGGACGCTAGCGATGTTAACTGTAAAGCCGATAAGTAATCACGCCCTGCATTTTACAACGAGCAGCATCTTCACACCGATCTAATACGATCCGTAAGCAATTCGTTGCGAAGGTTATATTGCATATTACACGGGTATGTAATATGCAATCGGTCAGCAATTATCTGCAGAGGTTACAGCTACCAATAAAAGTTTGTACTTTCTAAATTCCTCAAAGTTCTACTGCTTAGACATTTGAAACGTTCTGGGATTGCCAAACTTTTGGGCAACCCCAAGAGGATATTTGACCCTACCATGCCACATAATCATGCCTATCAACTACAACTAGCTGATTTAAATGCCCGAGGGAGCATTGTGGTGTCCGTTTGCATATCTTCCATTGCATCATTGCGTTGATGTAATGGAATATATGCAAACGGATATACATGCGTTATTTGATAAGACAAACGTCTGGTAGATCTTCCGTCGTTGAAGTATCTGTTAAGTGGACAGTGTTGTTGTTGGTCATATCGCCTGTCATCTACATTTTATTTAAAGCCTGTCTTAAAAGCTACAAAAAATATTCTGCGTCAAGGCACTGACAACCAAGAGCAGCATTCCACTGTTAAGATGTCTGACCGCGACAGAAATGTGCTAGCGATGACATGACGCCAGCCGATTAGTGCTTCTCTGTCGACTCATATCTGTTCCTTTTCAAAAAGTGTGCACACATTTCAGTGCTACTACTTCACACATTCGTTTCCGTGTCCCTACATCAATGTCGGCCGCACAGACTGGCTTCTGCGAGTACCTGACTGATCCACGCTCTAGGCGCCACCTGATAGCCTGAGCGCCACCTGTCACCGTCAGGTTCTGCTGCTCGCCGCTGCGGCGCTAGTGTGCTCGGCTGCCGTCTTGCCGGAGGATCGAGCCAGCACCATCGTGCGCACGACGGACCGGCGCGCCACCGACGGCGGCTACGACTTCGGCTTCGAGACCAGTAACGGGATGGCCGTGCAGCAGTCGGGCGTGATCGACCCCGCTACCGGCGCGCTCTCGGTGTACGGCGTGTACGAGTACCTGGACCCGGCCACCGGCCAGGTGTTCCGCGTGCAGTACATCGCCGACGAGAACGGGTTCCAACCGCAGGGCGAGCACCTGGTGCGCTCCGCCGGCGTCCGGTCCTTCTAGCAGGTGAGAGCCCCGTCATCCACCGATCGGTCGCGTGGTTGCCATCGGGGCATTAGGGACATTCGGTCACGTTCGTTAAATTTATTACGGGCTTCGGTGAGTAAACGTGTCGGGGAATCCCGAACGCGGCCAGCATAAAATCAGAATCTGAGCTAAAAGGGGCAGGCCGGTGCAGTCTTAAGCTCCTTACCGAAGCATTCAACGCTCCTCGTAAATCCGGACCCACTTCGGTGCAAACACCGAGCCTGGTAAATTAGTGGATCGTTACCGTGCCGCGGCAGGGCCGTGGTGAAGCACAACCATCGCCAGATGAAATCTGAACAGCTTTGGCCATGTGTTTGAACCTCCGTGTCGCCGCGTCCCCACGTAAGACCAGTAACACCCATCGTAGAGGCGACTTTGCCTCTCAACGACAGGGAATAGTGAGCTACAACACACCCACGGACTGAATATTTCGATGCAAAGAACTAGCAGTGCCTTCCGTTATATTTACAGCGACGGGAACACGTTTTCCTTGTCATCTTGTCTTCGTAAAGTCCTGACTACTTGCAAGCAAATATTAAGAGGCAACGATGCTGAAGTCCACACTGATTTAGCAGCAACGTCTTACGTTGTCCCCCACTTCAGTCAACTGATACTGAGCAGACAATAGCAGTGTTTTGCAATCGTCTCAGAAAAAAGCATGAAAACCAAAAGACCTAAGCCAACGTCCCGATGCAGACCAGAGTCATCCAAAAAATCAGTCAATCCATGAATGTGAGAGCGAGGTAGCGGATGCGGATGATTACGAGGCGTACAAAACTGACGGCCCGAATGATCCGTAAAAGGTGTCACTTTCCGCCACGAAACCTTGAATTTTGACACATTTGCTGGAGTGACTGGAGCCTTCTGCCTTATGTTTGCTTCCTTGCTTGTCATTGAGCAGGTTTTTAAAACGAATTCACTAAATCACTGAATATCTTGCACGGGCACAATCTCTTCTTAAGATAGAACAGTGATCATAACGATATGATACTAATGCCTAATTTTCCATTCCAGGCTATAGTTGGCTAACGCCAGCACGCCACATCGACTTCTTCAAAGAGCCTACAAATCTGTTTGCCGCAAGGACAAATGATTTCTTGAAACTACCCGGTGCGTTCACAGTTACGTAGGCATATGACTAGTACGCAATGGGAGAGGTGATCGCTGTCATGCAGACCATGGCTGATGGCAGGATTCATCGGATTCACTACTTGGGCATTCAGTCATATAACAATGGCCTGCGGGAAGCGGGTTACCTCAGGGTGGTACGTTGGAGTGTCACTAACGCGTAGTGGCCTCGCGCGCGGTTTTTGGTCGTAGACATCGCTGAAGAACGCCGCACATCACACTAGAAGCTGTCGAAATAGCACTGTGTCTCAGCAACGTACCTCCCACAGTGCAGTGTCCTCACGGCAATACACGGCGACAAACACGTGCACGCCTCGTGTGAACGTCTCTCGGCTGGCTCTCGCACCCGTGCCCCACGCAGGCTGCCCCGCGTGCAGCGCGCGGCACCGGTCCGTCACCAGACGGTGCGGCACGTCCGCGCCGCCCCGCACGCCCCGCGGCGACACGTCCGCCCCGTCACACAGAATCACGGCTCCGTCCGACGCAGTACCGCTCTCGGCCAATTGCGTCGCTCTGGCGCCAGCTTCGGAGGTCCAGTGGCGCCATGTTGCCCGGGCGTCCGAACTGCTGCACCGAGCCGTGACAGTCGTGGCCGTGACCCGTCACCAATGTCGTGACGGAGCAACGCCGCCGCGTCACGTCATGTCACGTCACGTCTCGTCACGTCACGGTGTGTCGAAGAGCGTGGGCTCCAGCTGCCGCCGCCGCCAGCGCTCGACGAACTCGGCCACGCGGTCGGGCGTGAGGGCCACGCCCTCCTCCAAGCCGAACCGGTGACCCAGGCTCAGGTCGATGATGACCAGCTGAGGCACCGCGTCGTCCACGCCAGCCGTCTCGCGCACCTGCTCGGCCACCTCCGACTGCCGGACACACGAGCGCGCCGCGCGTCAGCCGAGCCGAGTCGACTTCGACTCCGACTCTGACACGCCATGCGCCAGGCCTGAGTCATCGATCGGCGACGGGGCGAGTCAGCTCACGTCTCGTCCGGTAGTGGATGTGGCGCTCGGTGCTGAGTAACGCCTGGTTCGTTCGGAGCCACCCCCATATTTTTACACGGCCGCACTGTCGCAGCTGGTGCGTGAGTTATGACTCAGATGTCCTTTTACTATCGCTGTATTCTGGTAGCGCCCTGGCTCCGGTGCGGAGCACCCTGCTTTGCATGCTACGCTGCGTCGTGGGTCGGGCTCAGCGAGCCAAACAGGACATTTGCGTCAGGTTGACCTCCATGACATTTACGGCCAGCTGTAAATTCAAATCCGCAAAGGGGCGTCATGTTTGTGAATGAGATTACGACCTCCCTGTGCGGCCCACGGCTCACCCGCGGCGTCGTGACCTGGTCCGGGGTCACGGCGCTGGCACGGTCCGTCGGGCTCCAATTTGAGTGGCGCGCCTGCCCGGTTGTGACCCACCTCTGTGCCGATGAAGAAACGGATGAGGTCGGCCTGGTCGGTGCGGTACTTCTGAGTTGCTTCGGCAGCAGGTGTCAGCACCTCTCGAGCGAACCGCACCTCCTCCGGCTCGGCGTCTAAGTAGGCACAGCAACCGCAGTAATGACCGGCGACTTATCGACCCACGGGATGTACTACTGACATTTACCAATTACACGAATGGAAAATAGTCAGGCATCGGGGAATAAGCCAGGTGATTGGTGGCGCAAGGACGGAATGTTAGGCTGAATGACAACAACGCGGCATGCGCCAGCAATACAAGTACGTCTGAACTGGTCTCAAAATAGCCCATTAAAGATGGCATCGTAATATCACTTTACCCTTTCGTAACCGAGTGAGAACTTAGGTTCCAGCAGTAGAAGGCTAACGCCATTTTCAAAGCCAAGAAGGCGTCACTGATGAGACAGATCGGCGTGTCACGTGACCCGTATTTATAGACAGTTCATGCGCCACCAGAACAAGACAACATGAATGCATCCAAAATATAATACATGGATCCAAACTATCGCGTCATTAGCCGTGACCACGAACCGCAAAGCATCCATGAAACAACCAGCCAATAAACCGGCAAGACCTACCCACGAACAGCACCAGCAGCGGCTCGTCCAGCAGGTGACGATGGCTCTCTGCCAGCTCCTGCACCAGCGCGGGTTGCCAGGGAAAGCCTGCGACACGACCAGGGGTCAACACTGGCGGCAGTCACCGGAGGGACCAGGCAGCCGGGCCAGCTTTTAAACGGCCCGCCTGCAGTCAGATGTGCTGTAATGTATACCAACCCTAGTTCCGATACCAAGTGTTAACTAACTTTGCGCAGGCTTCAATCCGCCCCGACTCCATCATATTATCCGCAACACCTTTAAAAAAGACCCCAGTCAGGGCTACGTCACAGCCCTGGATTTATGGCATTCTACGCGCCTGCCCTGACCGGGAGCGCCCAGCACTGACCTGCGCCAGGGGGTCCTCGGCCACGTGCGCCCTGGCGTTGCGACAAACCAGCCGGTCGTGCTGGTCCAGCACCAGCAGGCTGGGGATGCCCTGCACGCCAAACCGCTCAGCCAGCTCGCGCCGTCGGCCGGCCTGCGCGTACGGCACCGCCAGCCACGGCGCCGCGCCGCGGTGCTGCTCGAATGACTCGGCCGTCCTATGGACGGGTCAGGTCAGGTTAGATCATGTGAGGCCAGGTCATGCCAGACCAGCCCAGGTCAAGTCAGGTAGGCCACAGCACCAGCTAATGCACCATGCCGGGGTGCAGCCCATAAACTCGGCCGTCCTGCGGACGGGTCGGGTTAGGTCAGGTCAATTTAGGGCGCGATACCTCCAGCCAGGCGGCATCGCACCCTAATTTGGCAGCGCCGCGGTGCAACTAAAATGGCTTGGCTACCCTGTGAAAAGGTCCTGTTAGGTCAGGTCAAATCAGTGTGAGGCATCGACAGCCGAGGACGGCGTCAACTGCGGCTTCCTGTCAGCGGATCAGGTCAGGTCAGGTCGCGTGATGGTAAGACACTGTCAGCCTAGGGCTGCGGCCATGTGCAGTCCACATGGCTACACAGTCCTGCAGGCGGGTGACGACAGCCGGGTCATGGTACGATAAGCGCGGGCCAGTGACCGGCCTTCGTCTGTTAAGTTCACCCAGCTAAGTTCGCCCAGTTCGTTGGTAAGGTTCAGTTAGCAGCCTGGGGGCCGTGCTGAAATGATGGTTCGGCTCAGTTCGGGACGAGCGAATAATGCTGTTGTTAATCACCTTCCGCCAACCTTGCGTTGCAGATCAGGCGTCACAGCTGTGACGTTTCGGCAGATCACGCTCCATTTGGCCAGATCGGGTTCGTTGAATCGTAAATATAGGATATAAGAAAAGTGGAAAGTGCTATGTGTAATAAGCCCTGTTTGTATCAGTGTATTGCAGTTCTGCAGAATAGACCAAACTTACGGACCCTATTTTTCTCCGTCCCTTTTTAGAGACTCGGGAGAAATGAAGCAAATCGACGCTTTCAGTAGCCATCCTACATTACGCTAAAATGGGAAAGCTGGCTGATATAGAAAGGTAATGGGGAATACCACAGCGCGGCACCATTACTTTATCGTTAGGTGATTCAGCCGGGCATGGAACTGACTGGGTCGTTAGCGCCGCGTCGCAACTCCTGGCGCCGTCCGCTGCCGAGCAGCATCCGGCGATCGTCTGGCTACGACTCGGAGCTGCTTCAAAGCTCTTTTTAAACGGCACTGAAAGCCATCGTGAAAAGAGTGAAGGCTTCCATTAACAGTAATAGACGGTAAGGCGATAGCGGCTCCGTTCTTTAGCGGATTAGTTTGCTAAAACGCTTCCACCTTGACGACCTCTGAAAGGAGGGGAAAGTGCTTTGATTAAAACTATTTTTCGACCACAACAACTAGAAAACAAGGGGAAATACTTTTGTGCCTGGTATGCGGTTCCGGCCCCCTGAGCCCAAGCACCGTACCTCGGGTACTGCGCTACCATGCGCCGTTCCATAACTTCACAAATGTCTGTCGCGGCTTGTCACGAATTAAGGGTCTGACAGTCTGAATGGGATGCGCTTTTCATCTCTGCAGTTGGAGAGATGTGCCTAATAGCGCATTCGTATGAGGTCCAGTAATATAAATGATACTTTCGCAAAACACAACCTAATCGATGCGCATAATAAGCACTGATATCCCTAAATTACACGTAATGCCCATCTAGTTCTAGGCTCGGTGAGGTGCTGCACCAATTGCCGCCGACCGGAGGCCGCTGCAGGAGGTGCCATGGTTCAGCATTTCACCAAACCACACCCTGGGGCTCAGTGGGCCGCTACATCAGATGCTTTGTTCATTAGCTGCCACACCCGGTATCGGCGTCAGCAGGCACAGGCCCGTGCTCACCCCCGCGTGTCCCCCTCCTCGTGCCCCGTAATGAGCCGCCACCTCCCGCCTATGACGCCCGGCCGCGGTTGAAGGGCGGCGGGGGACGGCGATTTACGACTGGCCGTCGGAGCTGGTCAATACTGCAAGCGAGGCAAGCGGGGCTGAACGCGCACCGCGACAAACAGCCAGCCTCCGGCGACATGCAGGGAGCCTCCGGAGGTGAAGAGAAGACCTCCGCACGCGAGGGTAGAAGACCTCCGGAGGTGAACAGAGGACCTCCGGAGACATGCAGGGAGCCTCCGGAGGTGAAGAGAAGACCTCCGCACGCGAGGGTAGAAGACCTCCGGAGGTGAACAGAGGTTCTCCGGAGACAGACAGGGAGCCTCCGGAGGTGAAGAAAAGACCTTCGTACACGAGGGTAGAAGACCTCCGGAGGTGAACAGAGGACCTCCGGAGACATGCAGGGAGCCTCCGGAGGTGAAGAGAAGACCTCCTCACGCGGGGGCAGAAGACCTCCGGAGGTAAACAGAGGACCTCCGGGGACAGGCGGATGATCTCCGAAGGAGGACGCAGGGCCTTTAGGCGCGAATAGATGACCTCGGTGGGCAGACAGAGTACAGAAGCGGACCTGCGGGGCAAAAACAAGGTTCCATGGAAACAGACAAAGGATAAAAGGACAGAACACCTTCAGACAGACAGAGAGCGACCGGAGGCAGCCGGATAGTTTCTGGAAGAGGACAAATAGTACACGGGGATGAACAGATGACATCCGGGTGCGTAAGAATCACTAAAACTTGAATAACGCACCATAAATGAGGCCAAGATGATACGAAGACACGGCCCACGAATGACATATCCCGCGGCAAAACACTGAACACTCGCGCAGCTCAACGCAGCGCCGTTACAGATGACACTTTAAATAACCTCCAGCATAGAAGACCACCTCTTGAGTCAAAGAAATGACCTCTTAAGACACACATGTGCACTCCAGAAACCAACGGCGACTTCTGAGCTAGCTATGGGTGCATTGTTCACAGACAATCATTCCGTTGTTCCGAACAGCTCGAGCCGTTTATGACAAAACTGACAGCCCTTCTAAACAAGCATGCACTCCCCGAGATGAGACGTCGGCTCTCTGACTTGTAGACCTGCGTCGGGTGACAGCACAAAAACAGCTGGCCCCTAGAGGCGGGCTCGGCCCGGGCACAAACACCGGCGAGCGGCGTGACAAACAGCGGCGGCGGGACAGGCGGCGCCGGCCACGCGCCCTTTAGTATTCATTGCCGCCGGCTGCATCTTTCAGAGCTCTGTTTACGATCGGGACCCGTGGCGCGCCGTGGAAGCAGCGTAACGGCGCTGGCCATGGCCGCCCGCCAGCCGCGCCTGCCCGCTGTCCTCTCCCGCCGCCGGGCTCAATGTCCTCCGGCCGACAGTTCGTTTTGGGCGGCGTTCTGACGTGGCAGAGCCGGCTGTTTATGGAGCCGTTCTCCTGGGGCTCGCCGATCTGACATTTTGCTATACAAAGGAAATCGCGCGCGTGGTATCATGGCGACGTCCGACCGCTCGCCATACAAAGCGGACCACACGCATGGCCGATCCTTCCGAAAGTTAGCCGCACATGAGACGGCGTTTGCAGAGGCCGCCCGCCAGACAGCTCGCTTGACAGGTGGTGGTCGATCGCAGACGGCGGCCGTTCGATAGTTTGCTCCACGGAAAAGAACGAATGCCGTGGCCACCCGTCCCCCATGTCACAGCTCGTTAAACAGAGCGTGACTAGCAACGGACTCGCTTCTTTTGACAGGTCGCTGCACAGATAAGGACGCGTGCATAGCCCGGCCGTCCGGCAGTTGAGCACACAAAGCCGGCCGTGCGGCCGTGATAAGACATATTCCCTGGTTCGTGCGCAGAGGAGGTCGGTCGAAACACGCACGTGTGCGAAAACTCGCCTCGCCTGGAACGTCTGTACGCTAAATGTATCACAGAGAAATGCCCATTCGCGAAAACGACCGGTTTGCCCCCGAGGAGGTATAACAACATTCCTCCAAAGGTCCGCCGCTCGGGAAAGCATGCATGCGGTGGCCCGTTGGTTCACCGTGGTTGGCTGAACAGAGGAGCTGGTATGCAGTGCACCGGGCGGGACGGTGATGCAGAACTAAGTCGGTGTCGCTGTCGAGTGGGGCCGTATTGATTTCACATTTGCTCCGGAGTCGGATAGGGCGAGCCGGCCATCCCTGCGATAATGGGTGCCGACGGGCGGCCGGCGGCCCCTGCTCGCTCAGCAGATCAGCGGTGCGCCGCTGCTGTCACCGGAGGTCCGCGGCAAGGGATAGCTCAACGGAGCAGCCGTTCACCCCTGCCGTCACCACCAGAGGCCTCGCCACCAGAGGCCTTGCCACCGGAGGCCTCGCCACCGGAGGCCTCACTTCCAGAGACCTTGCCGCCAGAGGCCTCGCCACCAGACGCCTCGCCACCGGAGGCCTCGCCACCGGAGGCCTCACTTCCAGAAGTGTCGCCACCGGAGGCCTCGCCACCAGAGGTCTCGCCACCAGAGGCCTCGCATTGCTGCTGACCGGCTTAGCAAGGTCGACGGGGTCGTTGCTGCCACTGCATCGGGAGAATGCCGTTGGGGTAGATCGACGCAAACGTTTTAACAGCCCGCTGCTGTCGCCGAAGGTCGGTGGCATGCGCGAACAGCTGTCACTTGGAGGTGCAAAGTTTGGAGGAGTGTATCCAAGGCATGGTGAAAATGAACTCCTCAGTTCGGCGAAGAATTTATACCGTTCTGCTGGTATTTAAGCTCATGGCGAAGCTCCACACACCTGAGGAAAGGCTGAGATTTTCAGTGGAATGTACAGGGTAGACATGGGAATACGGGGGTGTAGCGCTAAAGAGTTTTTGCTGACTTCCTTGAGGGTTGGCAGCCTACATAACAGAAGCCAGAAGCTCACCATTGCACATTTCGTCTCAGATAGCCTCTTTCAATATGTGAAGAGGCAAATGGTACCCTAAAGTAACATAACTATTTCCTCTTTGGAAAACGTAGCTGAAGTAGTAGCGAGTGATATCTCCGCAGCTTCCTCGAGCGGCAGGAAAGTCATTCCCCGATCTAAGGCAGACTCGTCTGGACTCAGCAAGAGTCAGACCGTCTTAACATTTTCACAATTATCACTGACGGCTCACCACTATTTGAACATAATGGGATACATCAATGAATTCCACATCAGGGAATGAATTGTGTTATGAGTCACACACCCACACACCCACACCCACACCCACACCCACACCCACACCCACACCCACACCCACACCCACTCACACACAGACACACACACACACACACCACACACACACACACACACACACATATATATATATATATATATATATATATATATATATATATATATATATATATAAACCATTCCACGATCACGCATTCCCAACGTTGTATTTCATATTTGTTTAAACATGCCTTTGGAGGTGCCTGTCCCTTTTTTTATCGGTGGACAGCCCGTTCCGGAGCTGATGCTTTTGTGTGGCGCGGTGCAATCAACACAGGGTGTTCCAATAACGGAATGGACGCACGGCTCCGCCGTATTTTAGCCTGGCCATCGTTCCCAGCTCCTCACAGGACCCACAGTGTGATTACTGCAGCCAGGGGCCAATAGGTACATCGATCGCGATCGAGGTTCAAGAGTCGTGGAAGGCGCGCGCGGCCGCCGTCTCCGGGGATGGAAGCGGCGCAGCCGGCTGGCGCCTCTGAGTCAGTAGCAGCGCAGGCTGGTATCTGGCGGGTGCATTCGTGGATGGCTCACAGTGGCACTGCATGCCACCGCAGGGAGTTTTACATGGCTGGTGCCTATGAGCGGAACTTTACCAGAAAAGTTGGAGATGTAAATTGGTTTGCGTGTCCATGCCCTTCATGCAACGCCACATAACTGCCGTTCATTTTCTGACGTTCATTTTGCATCCCTAAAATAGCAAAAGTTTCATCCCATGCTGGCGCCTTTCAGTCACGACCGGTTCGATGATATCAAACGCAGCGCAATCTATTGGCGACATGCAACCAACCCAACTGTGTTGCACTGACAGCGTCCTTCGTATCCACTGCATTTGCATTCGCGCTGCAGACTTCTCCCGGTACCGCGAGGGCCGCGCCCCCTGCCGGCGTCTCAGCTCCCGAAGCATGCTATCCGCTGGCACCCCGGCTTCGGTCCAGTCAGACGCCGACCGGCGACGACAGCGTACACACAGCTTTGACATGCAAATTGACCCATGAACTATCACCAAATTCGGAAGAGGAAGCAAATAGGTTATAATGCCGAATGCAAAGCGGGAGGTATAAGCACCAACCTTCTATGGACAGGCGCCCATGAGTTGTGACTAGAGTGGTCTCTGAAGTGGTGTCCATAAGCTACGAGTGGAGGCGCGTCTGCGCGTGGCGCTCACCTGTCTGAAGACACGAGGATGACCTCGAACTTCAATCCTCGGCTGCAAATCCTCCCGGCCATTTCTCGGAGTTCTGGAGTGAAGGCCTTGCATGGAGGACACTGGAAACAGGGCGGCCATCGGCGCCCACGGCCATGGAAAGGTCACTTGGTAATCTGGCCTACTGGCAAGACAGACGCCGTCTGCCGCGATCGTAAATAACTGGACCGAATGGCCAGACTTATGCGGTCTGGCGGGTTAGTTTAGTGGCGGCGTTAAATTGACCCAGTTGCAGCGCTCCAACATAACTTATGCATGTTGCTCCAGCAAAGCCTCCTCACCAACACCCCCGAGGGAACTGCGCCTCAAACAGCCCTCAGAAACGATTGCTTGCAATCTAATATTTACAAGGACCATGGGGGAATCGCTCCAACAATAATGCCACTCTGGCGTGAATTGTGAGCGGATGCAGTTTGGTTGGACCTGTTACATAAAGCTTTTGCGAACTTATTACCTCGTCAAGTTTCATTTTGCACTCTTATCCACTAACGCTTAGAAATCCGAAAGGCTTCGGGAATGCGACAGATGTGCTGATGCATACAGTAATGGATGAAACGGCTGGTAAACACTTTTTCCCTACAAAGCGAGCATTTTACAGAAAAATAACACCCCAGATGTGCTACCTTCTGCCAGCCCGAACCTTGTATCGCAAGCGCTATGCTTGGGAGACTGATACACACCGTCGCTGCTTGGGAGACTGATACACAACGTCACTCTCGGATCGAGCTGTGCTTGGGAGACTGATACACACCGTCGCTGCTTGGGAGACTGATACACACCGTCGCTCTCGGATCGAGCTATGCTTGGGAGACTGATACACACCGTCGCTGCTTGGGAGACTGATACACACCGTCGCTCTCGGATCGAGCTATGCTTGGGAGACTGATACACACCGTCGCTCTCGGATCGATAGCTACTCCTTATGAATCGGCATTTGAACACCACTGAAATGTCGACAGCGGTTCTGTTTAAAACCTTTTACAGCACTCACCCAGTTGGCGGCGAAGTAGAGTGCCTTGAATGCGCCCTGGATTCGGCTGTAGTCGCACAGTTGGCCGTCCTTATCCAGAAGGCCGTCCACCATGAGCTGCTCGTAACTGCGCGGTCGCCATGGAAACCCACGACCGTCTGGGTGCTCTCGAACGAGATCGCAGGCGTTCGAGATGATAGTCTGCCCAGACGCCATATCGACCAGCGACAGGCAGGGGATGTCTTGAATTTTGAAAAGGCAGCGCATTTTGTTCTGAAAGAAGAAAGCGAGCTCCATGAATGCACGAAAAGAAGTAGGACAATCATGCCACCTTGACTAGGTTCTAGAATGATTTCGACATATTGAGAGGAAATTCGACATAAATGCCGATATGTATGGGGTTTAATCAAATACAGGTTTACACCATGCTTACATCGGCTTTTGAGCAGTGTTCTAAGAACCAAAGCTTGTAGGGGCCATTTGAGCTTCTTGCTTGGCTTTCCACCATAGATACATATCCAGACGGCGTGTAGGATGGACACGCTGTGTCCACGCATACATGGGGATCGGAAAATTGCAAAAATAGGAAAAGTTTATTTTAATGGAATGTGGTATACATTCGGCTGTTATGCATTGGGTTGGTATCGTACGCATTCCGTTGGTGTTCGGTTCTGAGGAGACCGGATGTCGTAGGAGGGCCAGGCTTACAAACTGCCGGTCGTCGTCTGCTTAAGCATTTGTTCATAAACGTGTCTGAGCTGTCCAAAATGTAATCCAGATTGAATAACCTGAATTGATCCATCAGAGCTGCGCCATATTGCCAGAAATAGTCCCGGACGAAAATGTTTCAGACTGCTGCCAGCGTCAGCAGTACTCGTCCAAACTTCACCGCCACAGACAAAAACTTTCGTGAGGAAAGAATTAATATCGCAGACAGCATAGCCCAGAACCTGCACAGTTGCGGATTTGGGGCGCGGCACCGCCACTGCCTGCCGCCATATTCCCGCTGGGACGCGTGACCGCTAATGCCTGCCGTCATATCCCCGCTGAGACGCGGCACCGCCACTGCCTGCCGTCATATCCCCGCAGAGACGCGGCACCGTCAATGCCTGCCATCATATCCCCGCTGAGACGCGGCACCGCCAGTGCCTGCCGGCATATCCCCGCTGAGACGCGTGACGCTAATGCCTGCCGTCATATCCCCGCTGAGGCGCGGCACCGCCACTGCCTGCCGTCATATCCCCGCTGAGACGCGGCACCGGCAATGCCTGCCGTCATATCCCCGCTGAGACGCGGCACCGCCACTGCCTGCCGTCATATTCCCGCTGAGACGCGGCACCGCCAATGCCTGCCGTCGTATTCCCGCTGAGACGCGGCACCGCCAATGCCTGCCGTCATATTCCCGCTGAGACGCGGCACCGCCAATGCCTGCCGTCATATCCCCGCTGAGACGCGGCACCGCCAATGCCTGCCGTCATATTCCCGCTGAGACGCGGCACCGCCAATGCCTGCCGTCATATTCCCGCTGAGACGCGGCACCGCCAATGCCTGCCGTCATATCCCCGCTGAGACGCGACACCGCCAATGCCTGCCATCATATCCCCGTTGAGACGCGTGACCGCTAATGCCTGCCATCACATCCTCGCCGACAGACTGTAACAGGAACGCAGCCGCTCACAAAAACGCGGCCGTGGACGTTTGCACCGAGCCGGTCGCACCGGGGAGTGCACCTCGTCGCCGTTTGCACCGAGCCGATCGCACCGGGGAGTGCGCCTCGTCGCCGTTTGCACCGAGCCGGTCGCACCGGGGAGTGCACCTCGTCGCCGTTTGCACCGAGCCGGTCGCACCGGGGAGTGCGCCTCGTCGCCGTTTGCACCGAGCCGGTCGCACCGGGGAGTGCGCCTCGTCGCCGTTTGCACCGAGCCGATCGCACCGGGGGAGTGCGCCTCGTCGTTTACACAGCTCCCCAATCCCGTGTAAATGAACGCGGGCACGGACGCGGGTGGCCATACGACGCTTGTATACACTGCGTCGACGCGGTGCAAACACGCACAAACAGGGCCGGGCGTCGGCACCGGCGCCCGCCGCACCGGGCCGCCGCCGATGCCGAGCGGGTAATGAACGAGGGCGGCGCTTCCTAAAAGCCCGCCGTCAAAACAGCCGGCCGCGGCGTCGCCAGCTGCGGCGTTGGGCAGACGCGCTGGCTAATGACCGACAGATTCGGGCGCGGCGGCGTGGGTCCGGCTCCTTCCCCCCCCCCCCGCCCGGACGGAGGCGAGCTCAGGATGGCCGGCCGTGGGCTAAGTCTGCCCGGTTTAGGGTCGCGGCGGCTGAATAATCACTGGCGCGGCGCGACGAGGCGGGACGGGCGCCGCCACAAGCGGCCGTCTGAGCAAACTGAGAATCAGCTCTTCCAGGGCAGTCTAAATGTCCGTGGTCAAACAAAGTAGCACCTGGCCTGCGAGAGCCTTCCCGTCGAAACCCGATGAACTGAACTGAAGCGGAATTCACATCAGCGCCACGCCTTTCCGGTGGATGACCGCCCTGAGTACCAACGGATGATGCTCGCCGGCACACTCAGCAACGGCGTCTTCCGCAATCTGGACGGCGCATGCAGCCCCAATCCAATAACAGCAGTGGTCCGACCCTGGACACGTGCAGAGTTCCCACCGTTTCCGACGGGGCGGACCATAACCGCCGGCGGTCGGTGCAGCCCCACGGCGGACCCACAGACGACTGCCGGGAGACCTTCCCTCCGACGGCAGCGACGCTCCGGACATTGGATCAGTCACCGGTCCACAGAGGGGACGGGGGGGGGGGGGGAGGACAGCTTGCAGGGCTCCGGCCGGTCATAGCTCAGCGCAGTGGGTATATGTCCAAAGGCAAAAGTTAAATTGACTGAGGCATCGTTAAATAACTCGAGCAAACAAACTTGGTGTGCGGCGGGGGTGAGCGGCCGGGAGCAGCGACGTTTTAAGGCCTTCTCGGCGGCGCTTCATACTCAGCCCTCCAGTGGAAGCCTTACAGGAGGCAAGTATGGAATTCGGGGGGGGGGGGGGGTAGGGGCAGCGAAGCATTCAATTCGGGCACGGCAGCCATTAAGCGAAGCTCCGGCTTCGGACGGCGCATTCGATGGTTGGAGTGTGAGCGGTAATCGATGCTCCCCGCCTATCATGCCGCCAGGACTGTGGTTCATGCATTAGCTCCAGGCGCACAGTTCCTCTCTGCCGGCTCTGAACTTTACACGAACATGCCGTCGGTGCGCTCTGAAGCGACGATCATCGTAACCAATAATTACCGTCGTCGATAACGTCAGGGAGCTGCCGCGGGCGCTTATCTCAGTTGTGACGTCACTGGCCGGCCCATCGGCGCTGCGCCAGGTATTTGACCGCGCACTGATGTCACCGCCCGACTCACCAGGCTGGGGAAGTCGTCGAAGTCGATTCTCCACCAGGGCATGTCGGCCGAGAGGTGCTCGAAATCCTCCCTGTCCTTGTCGGCAGAGACGAACACCACCTCGAACTGCTCTCCGCTGTCGCGCACCTGACCGACGAGGTCGCGAGGTCACAGGATGACTTCTGAGAGTGAACGTCGCGTGGACAAAAGGCTCCGAAATCATGGCCGAGTCTGTGGCGTGGGTCATGACCAGCCCTGTGGCGTTATCATGTATCCACACCGAACTTATGGAGTATCTGACGTCAACCAGAATCACGGCCGAGTCTGTGGTGTGGGTCATGACCAGCCCTGCGGCGTTATCATGTATCCACACCGAACTTATGGAGTATCTGACGTCAACCAGAATTTGATTGGGTGACCAGGTTGCGGCAATGACATAGAGGAGTGTGGACAACGATGGGCCAAAAATGCACTTGGGAGCCCTCCGTTAGCAGGACGTCCGGGACAGGGACCCACCTCAGTAGCTGCGGGCGCTAGGTTGGTGCTTCCGCCAGGGTCACTTCCCAGTAATGGCTGATTCACACAGCTCACACCGGATAAACAGCGCGTGCGGGGATGCTGAATGAAGCGTGAATGAAGACAGGATGGCGGACAACTCAGACCGTGGAAAAAACGCACCAAAAGCACGAGACGTGCTCGACTTGGCGAGTCATTCATTACCAACAACAAAGGGCGTCTCGGCATGGCACAAAACAGGCCTGAGGGAGCGACTGGCAGAGCAAAACAAGCCGGCTGCTGTCGGCGGCTGGCTGCGGAGCGTACGGTAGCTGCCTGCTGGCGGGTGGCGGCCGAGCAGGACGGAGCGCTGGACTGCACGCAAACCTCACCCGACTGGGGGGACGGGGTGGGGGCAGGTAAACCGGCTGGACCACTTTTAGTCCAGGGCCGACGCCACCATCCGCTGGCCCCACAGGCGTACACACTTCATCATACCCCCAGCAGGTGGATACCTCAAGCCATCTCTCCAGGCGTTTTACCCTGCGATGTCGTCACCACAACCGGTAGGTCAAGTCCGGTCGCGTCGTCTCGTGTCACATCGCAATGCAAACTGTAACCTCAAGTCACGTCAGCTCATCGGCCGTCGTACAACGTCTCGTTGGCACACCAACTTCGCGGCAGCACACCGCCACGCCACAGCACGTGACCCGCCGGTTTCACACACGGATCATGACCTCGTCATACTACGTTACGTCACGTCCCGTCACATCCACACACGCGCGGTCACCTCACGCCACGTCACATCTGCCGGCATGCACGTCACGCCCCCCGCCACCGGCACGTCCGAGCGCGCCCATCGCCCCCAGCACGGCCGGGCACGCCACGTCGCCCGCCGGCCGGTCACCTGGGCGTAGCAGCGCCGCAGCAGCTGGACAAACTCCTCGCAGGGGCCGCACCACTTGCCGGCGAACAGCACGCCGATCACGCCATCGGTGCGGCCACTCAGGTCGGCCCGCTCGCCGCGCGGCCCCGAGCAGCGCCGCCAGCAGCGGGGCGCAGCGCGCCGCCATTCTGCCGCCGTCGGCGCCGACTGAGCCGGCGTCGGCCGCGTCGGTGCGTCGGCGAGCGCCGCGTCCAGGTGCGCCGTCCGGGCGCGCCGGTGCGCTGCGCGGCCGCGACTGCCGCTCAAGGTGGCGGCCCGCCGCAGCCGCCAGGACGCGACAGGGGCGGCAGCGGCGGCGGCGGCGGCGGCGGCGGCGGGCGGCACGCGCCCTGCCGGTGCCGGCGGGCGGCGCGCGACTAGCCGCCGCCGCAGGAGGGGCGGGCACGCTCCTGGCGCGCCGGGCGCCTGCAGCGGCGGCGACCGTGACGGCGACGGTCGGGTGAGTCAGCGGCCTGTTGCAGCCGCCGCGGCCGCCGGGCAGGGGTGTGTGTGAAGGGGACGGGGACGTGCGCGCCCTCGCCTGTCGACGCGACAGCGCTGACAGAGAGGCGGCCGTGATTGAATTCCTCGTTTGATCGATGGCGTGCCGGCGCTCCATCAGAGTCAGTGTTAACAGGAAAGTGGAACGCAAGCTGCCGGCCGTGAGAGATTGAGCGCCGGGCTTTAGTCTGTCGGCGTGTTGGTAAAAAAACTTGCTTCGAGCTAGCAGCGTATTAGCGTCAAACGTGCCGCTCCTAAAGCCGTTTTAATGTGCGTGGAGGGAGAACAAAGCTGAAGGTTCATTTAGTCTGGCATGTATTTGGTCACGGATTTTAACACACATCTAGCAACAAGTTAATGTCCCTAGCGGCTTAAACACACTATTGATGTATGGATCAAGGTGTAGACTATTCTGACGTCTACGAACAAGAGGTCCGGCCAATATTTGTAGGAATTCGATGGCTTTGTTAACAACGGTATAATATGCACGTTATGAGTACCTCATATGCAGCGAATACAAGTCATGCGCCTCGCACACCCGAATAACACCATCGAGTAGCTTCGCTGACTTAAGACTGGCACTGGACAGCATTCGAAGGCACCCAGTACACCACCCCTTCTCGCCGCACTTGGCCACGTCGGGCTCACACGTGCCACGTGCGGCCCCGCGGCAGCCGGCTTCTGGCGCGGCCGCTGAGGCAGGCTGCTCCCGCAGCGTGCGCCGGCCTCTGCCCGGGCGTCGGGCGCGTGCGCCGTTCCGAGATCATTTTCACCGGCCCGTGGACCGGGAAGAGCGCCCTGCACACGAGCGCAGCGGCGAAACGGCCGGTCCTGCCGCACCGGAGGCGCGGCCGGCCGGGCGCCAGGGCGCCGCGCCCGTCACGCGCCCCGACCGGCGCCGGACCCCGCCGCACGGAGGCCGCCGTCCGCCCTCAGTCGGCGCCGCTGCACGGGGCTTGCCGTACTCGCGCCGCGGCTGCGCGGGTCAGGTCATCACAGGATCCCGGCCGCGGCTGGCGGAGGCGGGTCGACACGCCGGGCGCGCGGCCGTCGCGTGTCCCAGGCCGGACTCGCGAGACGGCGTCAAAGCAGGTGTCACGGTGACGGTAGCTCACGCCATGTTCTCCCGGATCCAGGGCAGGAAGTGGGTGATGCGCGTGTAAACGCCCGGGTAGCCGGCCTTGGCGCAGCGGTTGCCGAATGATACGATGCCGATCTGCATCCAGTGGCCGTTCTCGAAGTACAACAACGGGCCGCCAGAGTCTCCCTGCGGGCGGGGGCAGGGTCAATTCAGGTCATCCGGACGGAAGCGCGTTCTCTGGTCATAAGCCAAAGGTCAGCGGGCCTACCCCTGGTAATGACCGTCATCTTGAGTCAGAGGGCGACTCTCACGGTGACTTTTGCCGGGTCAGCGGTGCTGGCCATTGGTCAGAGAGTGCCGCCGCAGTGACTTCAGCGTCCCCAGGTCCATACGGACCACAGACGGCAGACGGTCCGGGCTCGGTTAAAGACGCTGTAAGTCCTCCAACTGGCTCCGGCACCGCAAGGCGGCTAAGTCAGCGCAAGCTGTCGGCTTAGAGCTGGAAAGCGGCCGGAAACCGGCAGGAATGCCGACGCTGCACGCCCTGCCGATTACGTAAATAAACCGGCCCGCGTGCGGCCTCAGCAGTCTCTCCCCGATTCGCCAGGGGTTTGAATGACGCATGGTTTGGGCGCGTGAGCGTGCGATGCGACGTCGTAGATTTTCGTTCGGGGTATGAGTTGGCGCGCGCCTGCACGATGCCGGAGCCGACGAAAAACAACGCACAAACCGAAGCCTGCGTCTGGCTCAGAAGACGCGTGCTCCGCTCCACTTTGGCAACATCGACTCCGATCCCGACCGGTAGGGTATGTGTTCGGATTCAGCGCAGGCACGTCATGCTTTCAGCACTACTTGCGCGTATTTCATGTTGAATTCTGACCTCAAAAATTATTTTGAAAGAGTCGAAGCTTAATCATAAGTACGTTAAATGGGCATCATGTTTGTTATCGTTGAGCTGATTCATGAATCCGCCGGCGGCCAGCCGCCTTGGTGCACGGGCGCGCAGCCCACAGCCTCAGGCACAGGACAGAGGCAAAAACACCAAAAGGTAGCACTAGAGCAGCGAGCAGGGACCAAACTCTGAACTCACCCGTCATATATGAAACTCTAGAGTAACGAGCGGGGACAGAACTCTGAACTCACCCATCAGATATGAAACTCTAGAGTAACGAGCAGGGACCGAACTTTGAACTCACCCGTCAGATATGAAACTCTAGAGTAACGAGCAGGGACCGAACTCTGAACTCACCCGCCAGATATGAAACTCTAAAGCAACGAGCAGGGACAGAACTCTGAACTCACCCATCAGATATGAAACTCTAAAGCAACGAGCAGGGACCGAACTTTGAACTCACCCATCAGATATGAAACTAGAGTAACGAGCAGGGACCGAACTTTGAACTCACCCATCAGATATGAAACTCTAAAGCAACGAGCAGGGACCGAACTTTGAACTCACCCATCAGATATGAAACTCTAGACTAACGAGCAGGGACAGAACTCTGAACTCACCCACCAGGTGCGACACGCAATTGTTCTTGTTCACATGAGCAATGATCCGCTAGCTTTCATGTGCTACAAATTGAAACCGGAAACGAGAAAGTCCTCTCGGGGGTGGCCGAATCGGTGCGCGATGTTCCGATGTGGGATCGACGCCCCCTCCCCCTCCGATGAGCGCCGTCCAGCGCACCGCTGCCGGAGAGGGGATGGGGTGGGGTGGGGAGGGGGCGGTCGGAGGGCCGATCACACATGATTGCAGCGCGGAACAGCGGCTAGTGAATGAGCGCGTCAGGCCCCTGACAAGACCGACCCCTCACGCGGGCGCGGCATCCATCAACCCGTCGCAGGCGCGTCATATCGGCACATCGCCCGAAGCTGCAGAACACCGACCGTGCATCCCAGCCGAGCCGACCGGCCGTTGCCCTGGGTGGAATGGGGACCGTGCATGCCAGCCGAGCCGACCAGCCGTTGCCCTGGGTGGAAGGGCGAACGCCGTGGGAGTAGCTGAAGCCGCTCGCAGGCAGCTGCAGATGGGGACCGGAGAGCCGCGCCGCCCCCGTCCGCCCTCCCCCTCCGAGTATCCCAGTAAGCGGATCACAGTCCGTGAACTCGTCATGTGGCTAATCTGATCTGCTCACTGGAGATGGGGACAGACTCAGCCGCCGAGCGATGGGGGCGCCGCTCCTTTGGTTTATTTGTTGAATGAATACTACCAATTTGGCGGCATTCAAGAATACCTTAATGACCCTCCCAACTACTGGATTGAAGTTGCACGACATATAAATATGCATATTACCGCAAAGACATAAATGTAGATAAACCAGTTACACTGGTTTTCACCCTAATAATATGCAACTACCCCATTACAATCAAGAGAACTACATGGCTTACCTGTCGGTCATTTCAGCCATTGCCACAATAAGCACATCGCTAGGCGTGAGACAGCATCCACAGTAATACTCCATTATAGCGTTTGGCAGGCAAATGACCCACATGCAAATCTACATTTACGTCAGGGGTGCAGTTTCCTTTTCAGTCTCAAACCGGGCTTCAGCCCTTCAAGTTTGAGAAAAAGTTGGCCCAAATCCGGAGAGAAATCTCTCTGCTGGTATATTCTGGGGTTAGATTGTTTAACTTTTTCTGCTCAGCCCTCATCCATTCTGTGAAGCTATGACCCTGATTTACATATGTTTGTGTAGATGCCATGAGGATATGCTCCATTAACTATGAGCTTATTTTTTGCGCATGAGGGGGCCCTGGTTTGTACGTAGCTGCCGTACCATATTGCATGACTCCAAGCTTCATGGCGTCTCTAAGACGACTGGTGGTCCCCGGATCTTCAATAAAGTCAAGCCTTTCTATTTCCTGTCACAGAACGTCCTAGGCTTCAGCGGTAAGCGCCGTGTACGAAAATCAACCCGACACATCCGGCAATTAAGCTGCGGACTAGGTTGAATGTACGACATTGAACTAACTCCAGTCGGTAGTTAATTTGATTGCAACATTAGATTACGATCAAATCACGGAAACGCAACATGAAAGTGGAGCAGCAGTTAGCGACGAAAATCAACACTACATTTCGTGTAGCGAAGTCAAGCATTCCTTAAGCTTTTAGCTTCTTCAGAGCACCCTTTTTCGTTGTTCGGGCCACGCACAGAAGGGCCAGCGTGCACCGTTTCTGATTGGTTGACGATTTTGGCTGGCTGTTGTTATCTCGGCCGGCGCCTCCATCAGTGCGCCGGGAAAATCGTTTGTGTTAGCGATTTTTTAGGCCGCCATGCATTTCCACGCCGGGACAGAAGCTGAAACAGCACGGTAAGTATACAGACCGTTACTTCAGCCGTGCACTTCTGACGTGAGTTCACTCAACTCAGACTGACTGCTAAGTTCAGCCGGAGTCATTCCCGCCGGTTTGTTAGCTGTGTGACTGCCTATGAATGACGCAGTGGTGAATCTGCTTATATAAACCGTGGCAGCTTTCAGATCCCAGGAAGATATGATGTAGTGATGTGCAGTCAGATACGTCGCTAAATCAGGGGTCTTTGGGACATGTAGATAAATCGCCGGGCACTGCGAGTTGTTGGACATTTCAAGCCGCTATGCAGGCCATCATCTCACATCTTGTAGTAACATACAATTCACTGTACCGCCCCTCTTTGAGCGATGCTTTACTCGCCAGCAGCCTGAACATTTGCAAGCGAAAGTCATGCAGAAATATCACAAGACTGCTGCACTTCCCCACTCTACTCGCATTGATAGGAAAGACTGGGCTTTCCTGTGTTCATGCAAGGGTGGCTGGTACATTGGACTTTGTGTGCCCACCACCGCAACTGGGCGTGTTCTATGCGCAGCTGCGGCGTACCTGACAGGCGTCCTTGCCGCCGTCGGCGTAACCGGCGCAAATGAAGATTTCCCTGATCGGCTGGAAATAGGCATTGTCGCAGTCCTGCTGGCCCCAGACAGGCAGCTCTGCATGACGCAACACCGCCGACTCCTGGCCGCCTGGCGGAGAAAAAGGGAAGCTCGAGTACAGCAATAGGGCGCGACTAGAGTTGCGAACCATACACGTGAGAAGGAGAGGAGAGTTGGTTCACGCGGATGCAGATCAGGGCTATGATAATGCTTCGTGTTACAGTGACGTGAGTAACCAGAACAATGGGCGGGCTCATCTTACCTGTCAGTCATTACAGACACGGAACGTTGCCACTTGACCAGCTTTCAATGGAATGAGCTCAAAATGCAATATTACTTTTCCATTGTTTTTCTGTTCTCGCGCCCCTGAAGGTATTGTTGAACAAACAAGCCAGCGAACAGCATTTAACGAAACCGGCAAATTGCGTCAAGATATGCCGCAATGTTCTGGCTTAATGAGGTTCTCTACTCATTTCCTGTTGGTACAGGATTCCGCGTCTGTTCAGAGAGCGTACCGTAGTAGGTAGTTCCCCAGCCGATGACGGATGGCGTCCGTCCGACCAGGGCGTCCAGCTGGCTGCCTTCATACTCCACCGGCAGACACACGGGGATCACATACTCGTTCAGATCCACGGGACGCTCAAGCTTGAACAGCGCTATGTCATTGTAGAAGCCGTTTATCTGCAAACGGACGGCAGCCGTGTCAGGTATTGATATCAGCTCCAGGCATATGTTTCGGTTGTTTCTTTGGAGTGGAAGTTGCGGAAAACTCTATAATAGCCATGCATTTGCCCACACGATTAGAAGCGCTCAAAGGCTGGCCGAAATGTTACTTGGCCCTCGCCCTAATCGCCGTTTTTCGTAACGCGAAATGACAGGGTGGAGCTGGTGATGGTGGTGAGGGGAGGGGGGGGGGGGGGGGGGAAGGGAGGGAGTCAATGCGATCCTGGAAGGCCTCTTTAAAGCAATGAAGATAGACTTTAAAAAAAATACATGTGGATTGTCTTCAACGAGATCTCACAATTGGGCGCAGTTTTTTTGTATTAAGGTCAATAACGAACCTTGATATACCAGGTCTAAGGTCAAATCTTCGTGAAAACCGCATTTTTAGCGTCACAGCATCATACATACTGTGATATGCATTGTGGCAACACAAAACTTAAGCATGCATACTCCTTGTTCAGTTCTGAGTACAATGATGCGTACTTTTGTGTGGCTTGAGCTTTATGAGAAAGATTCAAGATATATTGCTTCGACAATGTAACAATGGCGACCCGCTGCGCACATTTCGCAGTATCATCGGTTTCCACCCGCCGTCCGCGGCAGCTGTAGATTGAAGTGCAGTGTTTCTCAGAAATAGCCGCTGCTCCAAAACCAGAAAAGCTAGGAACACGTTTTTGGTGTAAAAACACGCGCGATAAATGCCCCATAGGCAGCTGAAAATTTGGGCGTAATTGCACAACACTCCGGATAAATATTCTCAAAAAACCTTGGAGTTGGTACCGACACCCTATCAGGGTGAACGTAATGCATTATGTCGCCATTAGTAGCATTATATACAATGCACGTAATCGCACTGAACTTAGGGCCATCTCGTAACACCATCATGATTTTGAAGGTCGCATGGGGATTACACGTGCAGACAAATGGACGAATAAAAAGATTGCATTCCAGAGCGTGTGAACGTCTACACACATCGACACATACACTATGACTAGCGAAATTTCAGTTTCTCTCCTGCCTGAACATGTGCTGGCCTCATGTCTCTGTGGCACCCGGTCGCCGATATCTTGGCCCGTGTTCGACCAGTGTTGTACACCTTTTTCACGATAAGCAAAGTTCACAGGTCGGCCACGTTTATGGAATGGGAACGGCCGTATTTTGCTAAATTCGCGTTATCGTAGAAAAACAAACCCTGATCGAGCGGCCTTTTATAAATTGACTGAAAATACATACATACAGAAAATAAAGAAATGTGGTTTTGTTTATGAAGACTTCACGATAATATGATCAATGATCTCAAAAAGTGCTAGCGTCCAGAAAAGTCACGGCCGGGCCGAGCCGGGACAAGCTGTTCACATTGATCGTTTTTCTGTGTAAGAGTTGGCTCTCGGTCCCTACAAATATGCTGAAAAAGGTGACAACTGAGTCTTACAGTCTTAAAGTTTTACATGTGCAAGTTCTCTTGAGTCCATGGTTCACTGTTGAAATAAACCCTCTCAATCTGGGGGACTGCAGAACAAAGTGGTTTATGCAAACTGTTAGACATTGCCACAAATCTTTGAACACGACGGGGCTCAATTTGCGGTTTAGCCACTAACACTTGGTGCTCGATGTGCTCGTGTATGAACAAGATAGTGATAAACCGCGTAAAAAAATGTTAAGGCCCAATTTCATGCCTCATGTTTCTAAAGATAGCTGAGTGCATATTTGGAGTGGAGCATCCATCACTCCTCGCGTTTCGACCTGTTCAATGGAGTCCTTCTGTGGCATTCAGTGAGGGTGGAATACATTTGTACGGTGCTCGAACCAGCGGAAAGCAAGATCATCTGCCACGGAACAACGGTCCCACATGATCTGCACAGCTATGAAGCCGGCCACCCTGACCGGTCCTGATGACAACCTCAGAGCTGACAGGTGGCATTACAGAATGAGCAAACGATCCACCGGCAACCAAAGATTAGTCATAAAACGTCGCCGCATACCCCGCAAACGGTGCAGCATCTCCGATCGATTGGTAATGGCGGCTCTTAACACTGATCTGATTTGACTGAACATTTTCCGTGGCTCGCGACTACGCTCCGTGTAATCTGACTGCTAAATACTCCCCGTCACAATACTTTGTGCAACCGCTGAAGCAATACTCAACAACTGAACCGGGCGAAAATAGCAGCGAATCTTACGATCAGCGTGGGAACACTGTTTGGCCAGCTGAGACAATCCTAAGCCGGCTCAGACGCGGGCTTTGAAGGGAGATAACACCAGTCTTACTTGGTATAGGCCCCTTTTGTCGTCACGTCTTGACCGTAAGCGCCTTCCCGCTCACCGCCGGACGACCTCCGCGTGCCCAGCGTGACCTGTGGCATATGCACTGGGTCCAAGCCGCCTTGGCTTACCTTGAAGTCTGGGTGCGTGCGGTATGAGGTGACAGTGTAGACGGCTGGCGCAGAGGCGTCCTGGCTGGAGCTCAGGTCGTAGTCACCCAGCCGCACCGTGAACTGCCGCGGGTGGAAGCTGCAACCAAGGCAACGTGCGTGCTGTGTACGCGTGCACGTGCGGTGTACGGTGTGTACGTGCATGTGCGCACGCGTGGCTCGTGTATAAAACCTGCACGCACTCGGAAGACGTCGGACAGTCGGAAGGGAAAATCGACCAAGCGAAACCGCTGCGGCGTCCAGTGATGAGAAACGACGCTGAAGTGCCACACAAATGGCTTTGACAACTTCCAACCTTGAGCAGCAGACGCCTACACACTATTCTACGAAAGCTATACCGTGCGGCTTTAACTAATTCAGTGCATGACTACTGCTCTAGAGCGTTCCGAACAACACCGGATATCGGTAAAACAAAACCAATGCGGTGAATAATTCAGCTGCATATACAACGTTATATTCAGCGTTACGTGGACGTTATAACACTGACCAGACGATCTCAAACAACATCCGCCCAGTGTGGCGACGGCATGAGACCAACTCAGTCTCAGTCTCAGACCAACAGTCTCGGTCACCTCTTGCCGTTGGTATCCTTGGTACAGTGGGCGGCCGTCATGATGTACTGGCGAGAGATGAGTGACCCGCCGCACCAGAACTCCTTGCGGTTGTTGCCGTGCAGGTAAATGGCGGCCATCCAGGGCCACTGGCCGGGGCGGGACTCCGAGCCGCCAACGATCCGAAACTGAGGCGCCTGGGGCTGGCCGCAGGCTGCCGGTCACGTAGCGAGGAGTGAGGTCAGGTCACTGGGGTCACGAGATCAGCGGTAACAGCGGGCCACTGGGGTCACGGAGCGAGGAGTGAGGTCAGGTCACTGGAGTCACAGAAAGAGGGCTGAGTTTAGGCTACTAGGGTCACGGAACAAGGGGCGAGTTCAGGCTACTGAGGTCACGAAGTAAGGGGTGGGGTCAGGCCACTTGGGTCACGGAGTAAGGGATGGGGTCGGGTCATCGGGGTCACAGAGCGAGGGGTGAGGTCAGGCCACTGGAGCCACCGAGAACGCATGAAGTGAGGTGACTCAGGCCTCAGGGACATGCGAGATTAGGATACAGCGGTGACGGAGCCCAAGCACAATTAAAAATGTCAAGAGCCAGAATATTTTTCCCCAAAACGAAACACCTACCCAAAGCCCAGCTGCTTCACAGGACAATCAGCGAGTACTACCAAACACAACAGCGTGGCAGCGAGAAACCCATGCCAAATCGCCGTTTGCAAGCAACACAGCACCTGCAGCCAAAGGCGGACAGGGGTGCAGTCTCGTAGAGCTGCCTCCCGGCCACCACGCGCGCCACTCACCAAAATCCTGCGGCCGCACGGGCGGCACTGGCGCCGGGCGCTGGGTCACGGGTGGGGTCGGGGGCGGAGGCCGCGCCGTGGCCGGCCGCTGGGTGAGCGCCGGTCGCGGCGGCCGCGTCCCCGGCCTCGCCGTCGGACGCGGCGTGAACGGACGCCGGGTGGTGGTCGGTCGGGCCAGGCCCGGAAAGGCGCCGGCCGCCGGCGACGCCGTCCCGCTGCCGACAGCCGAGGTGAGCCACGTCACGAACAGGCATAGCGGGGCGCCGTGTTTGAGGTTCGAGCTTTAGATCATGTAAGATAGGTGACAAACATGCTCATCTTCTTAACGGGCATTGCATGTGATCTTTGAAGAGTGGAGGCGCACTCAACGCCAGAGCTGAAAATATGCGTGCTATCGAACCACACAGCATCTTTTGTCCAGCACCATGCCTGATCCCGGACCACTGTCCTAGTCGAATCAACAGGGTGGGAATCCTTTTCCCAAGTGCGGTAGGCAGCTCGCCACGCTCCTCCGGCCTCTCTCGCACCGGCTCACCTGGGGCAGCAGACGCCCGGCACGAATATCTGCTGGAAGCAGATGCTAGAGCGCAGGTTGCCGAGGTCGAGCAGCAGCTGCGGGCAGGCGCTGAGGTCGCGGCACTCGCCCCGGCCGCCCTGGGGTGTGGTGCAGGGCCGCGGCCGCTCCGGTACCGCCGCCGCCGCCGCCGTCGCCGCCGGCGCTGCCTGATCGTCCTTGTCGGCGCCGGAGCCGGCCCCGGCGCCGTTGCCGAAGCCGAACACGAAGCGGCCGTCGTTGAAGCCGACTGGGTCGCGGTCAGGCACAATCTGGTTGACGAGCGGCTGGGCGATCGGCACCAGCGCGTCCGTCACGTTGGCGCCGAGCACGCGCGTGCCGGCCAGGTAGAGCGCCCCGTTCACCAGGTCCTTGAACAGGCCGCGCGAGTCGTCCGACCGGTCGCGCGTCGCGTTCGTCGCGCCGTCTGCGTCGTCGGCGTCGGCGGCTGGGGAGAGGGCCGACGTGATTTCGCTCGTCAGGTTCGAGATCGCGCTGCGCATCTCGTTGAACTGGCCTAGCGCCATGCCGAGCGTGCCCTTCACCATGGCGTGATTCTCGTCGCCGAGAACCGTGCGGCCGACGCGGTCCATGGCGGAGGAGAGGACCGGCTCGGCGGCGCGACGCAGCAGCTCGGCGCCGCGGCTGACCTTCGGCACCACGTACGTCTCGACCATGTCGACCACGTGGCGCGTGCCGGCCGCCACGTCGCCGGCCAGGCGCACCGTCGTGTTGGCCAGCTGCGGCCAGACGCGCGTGCGCAGCAGCAGCATGCCGCGGTAGGCGCGTCGCCGCACGGCCGGCAGGATGCGGTGGCGCAGCACGTGCAGGCGGCGCTGCGCACTGCGGCGCGCCGCTGGCAGCAGCTCGCCGCGCACGTGCGCCACGCCGCGGTCCACGGCCGGTGCCACGGCCGCGTTCAGCTGGGCCAGGCCGTCCTGGATGTCAGTCAGTCCGTCTTTGAGGGAGCGGGTTACAGAGCGAACTGCGCTGCGGGCTGAGGCGTTAGTCGTTAGCGTCGGGCCTAGTCGGTCGGCTGGTGGTCGTGCAGTTTATCTCGAGCAGTGCAGTGCAGTATTAACAGCGGGATTTGTGCAGTGTTCACAACTTAACTATGCTGTTAGAGGCAAATTATCACTCGGCTCTTACTTTATGGACTCAAACTATACACAGTTATCGCATGAGCTGTGTTAGGTCATTTATACAAATCGCTGATAATAACAACCACCGCCACCACCTGACATGTCTACTAAGCTCTGATATCCCTCCACACAAGGACGAATGTGCACAAAATCCGAAGGTGCAGGGACACATCCTGATTGCTTCTGCTAGAACAAGCAAATGTTACGCTATGCATTTCGAGGGATACTGAGTTTACATCGGCTCGCACAAAATTTAGCCAGATGCATTGATCCACGTTTGTGTTGGCTCAGGACAAGCTTCTGCCGGTGCTGTAGGTTCACGCACCGGTTGTACCATTGATACTAAAACACGATCAGACAGTGAAGTATCTAGCCGTTCAGAAATTCATGGGTTTGATCTTCAGACCAACGTGCCATTTTTTGTTTTCTTTTACACCGAACACTCTACCGGCATACGTATGGTTGAGTGGCGTATGTGGAGCCTGACGTGAGGTTCGGAAAACGAGCCTCGTCAGTCGCATATTTGAGATAGCCGAGGCCTAACCGCCGCGTTACAGTCTTGGTAACGCCAAGTGAGATGATGCATCTGAGTATATTACCGCCTAGTTTTAGTTTCTTATGGATGCATTCATACATACTTCACAACAGTTTTGTCATTTCTTTCCTACTATTTAGTGTGCTTGTGTTCAGTTAATAACGGCTTTGAAATAATTGTGCTTTGGACTGAAGCATTCAATGTGTGAAGTGGGTTTCCATTTCCTCTCGCCGTACGTGATCAACACAGCGGTAAAATGCTATGTTGCCTGCATTATGGAACTCATGAGGTGTTAATTACCGGCATAACCGAAGTGGCGCCACCTCGACAGGAAATATTGCGTCCACAGCCGCGCAAAGTGGTGCGGCGGTGGCACAATTGAACGACTTCCCTCCTGAGCCATCACTGAACAATGAGCACCTTTCAGACGGAAGCGTTGTGTAACGCTCCACCAGCCCCCGACTCTAGCGCTGAGGCACGGGGGCCATCGCTGTGACGTCACGTCAGCCCAGCGAAAGGGCTCAGCAGACCTGGCTGCGCCGTGTCGCAAGCCCCCGCAGCGTTTTTGGCGGGGCCCTGGCGACTGAGCGTGACACCGGCGGCCGGCCGCTGCTGTGTGGCCACAGCCGGGTATTTCCGCCGCTGGCGGTCGGCCCCCGTCTGCCTGGGATCGTGACTGCGAGCAGTCACCCCGATTACGCGGGCGACCGTGGCTGCCGTGTGGGATGTGGCGTCCAGGCTACCGGGGTCACGCGGCGGGCATAGAGCTGGTCTGGGGCCGGGGCCCTCCAAACCGCGACCGCCCGCTCAGAAGGCCGTTGCAAGACAAAACTGCAGCAAGGTAAATTTTTAAGCCGATTAAAGGCCGTTTCTTTGGCGTTCATCCGTTTCACCCCATGCCGTTAGTTCTTGAACTTGCCTTTTTGCACAACTACGACAGGGATTTTCAGTCGTAGTCGTGTCTTAAGAATATTACACGGTGTGCCCTTGCAGGAGCATCGATCGAATTACGGTGATTTGAGGTCAGCTGGGGTGTACATTGCACGCTACATCCGCCATCATACCGACATATCAAAAAGGTCGCATGCGAGGGGATTGCCACAGCTCATGCAGGTCTGCCCAGGATGTCGCCAGAATTTCTTGCCGCCTAGCTCCACAGAGCCAGTGCCGAGGCAAGACCGCAAGGAGCGTGCACGCTGGCGGCGGTGGAAGTCCCAGCCGCGGACGCTCGCGTACGGCGTGCGTCTACACTCGACGCCTGAGGTTGGCGGGATTTCCGTGGGGAACGACTGGTGGCACAGCTGCGCCGTACCTCTCCCCAGCCTGCGGTGCGTCACCCAGGCCGTAGCAGCCGAGCGTGACACGGTCGAGCGGTCAGGCCGTGTCGGTCAGCTGTACCGTACAGCACCCCAGTCACCAGTCCCGTCACCCGGGCGCTGGCCTGGTGGCCGTTCTCAGTCCACCAGACTCAGCACCCCAGTCACCAGTCCCGCCACCCGAGCGCTGGCCTGGTGACCACTCAGTCCACCCGGGTCAGCACCCCCGTCACCCGAGCGCTGGCCTGGTGGCCGTTCTCAGTCCACCAGACTCAGCACCCCAGTCACCAGTCCCGTCACCCGAGCGCTGGCCCAGCGGCCGTACTTCATTCACCCAGTCACCGGCCAGTCACCAGTCCAGGCATGTCGGGGAGTCGCGTCCAAGTCCTTCGGTGCACATCGTGTTCGGCATCAGCACACTCACAGGTAGCTCCGCTCGCCGCCAAGAACGCGCCCAGAGGCGGCAAGCACAGAGCGGAGGCAAGAGCGAAAAGGGCACGTGCTGTGCATCGGGGCGAGTGGCGGCTTGAGAGCGCCTGGCATGTGAGCGGCTCAAATCGTTCAGCGGTTTGGCGCTTGGGGTTCGGGGTGGAGGACGTCGCGGTGCAGCAGCCAGCCCACATCTCAGGCTGAACTCCGATAAGCGATGCCAGGCAGGTGTTCCCGATGACATGGCCGGCTCTGTCTTGCCATGTTGGGCAAGCGGCGAGACGCTCGGATGGCAGACACGGCCAGCTCCCGGTCCAGTGCGGTCTGCGGGTTTGTTGCAACCTTTGGATCCGGCCGGGTGAGGCATGCATGGATCGGATGCTTTTTCGGTGAGGGAAGAATGGACGGATTGGCCTTATCTGAGGCGATCTGGCAGTGCCAGATCTGTCAGATCAAGCATAGCGTGAACTTTTATGTTCATGGGGAAGAGAATGCAGTACAAGCTCGGAGGTGCTGTTGGCAAGTGCTCGCAGATACCAAGTATCCGTTGTTACTTACTGTTTATTGGCAGGAATGGTGATCGCTCTAAAGGATGGAAAAAAACTTATTAAACTCTGACTACATTCTTTTACAAAGAACCAGACACCACAGGACATCCCATGACATGCTATCTATCTATCCGCTGAATGGTTCACAGGTATTCGCTGACCAATGCAAGTTTGATAACCAATATTCAAATATTATCGTAGCACCCCTAAGCCTTGCTGTTCGACGAGCCCAGAGCATGGGAAAATGAATTCCACTACACCACTACGCGCCCAAGCAATACATGCTGGTATTTTTTGTATGAAGTGCAGAGTTCCCGTTGCCTGTTCCATGCAAGCATATATAGACATTTAGGTAAGAAGTTGCTAATTTTTGTCATGTGACTGCGTACCGCTCTAATGAAGAAAATCGCAATCTTTGTAGTTCATGTATGCACCTGCATGTCCAGCGTACCACGCAACGTAAGCCTTTTGAGTTGGTCCATGTGTCTAATCAACTGTTGATGTGCTGCTGTTGACTGTGCATTATGAGCTACTATTTTATTTGTTCATGCGTGCTTAAGTTCTTAGCGTCCCGATTGACAAAGCGAAGCACATCCCGCAACCACAAGCTTGCCTATAATGTGGCATGGAATTCGCATGCGCTTTATTAGTGTTGTACGTCAAGAGCCAGCTATTAAAGTATGCGATTTATACCGGACAGGTTTTTTTACTTCTCATAGTGATGGTTACGGAATGGTACAGTTAAACTGATTGAAAAGGAAGTGAATAAGCTATTTCAATCATCACCACAATGTACAGAGGAAAGTAAAACAATCAGTTTGACGGAAAAGCTGTAGCCGCTTTTGTACAACACATATTTGAAATGCGCACAACTCAGTTACCTATACCACCGCACACTACCCACCGCTTGACGCCGTCGTCACCGTCATCTTACTCACTTTGCCGCCTGGTGCGTGAATCGTCCGCTTGCCCGCTGCTGACCATACAGAGCAGCATCAGCAGCAGAGCGGCCGGCAGTAGGCGGGCGGACGGCATGTCTGCGGCAGAACGGCGTACCGCTGCTGAAGCAGACGCAGACGCTCGCGGATGCAGGCGAGCGCAGACAGCGCAGGCCAACGCCAAAAGAATCACACAAACGGAGACAGACTCAGACAAGCGCAGACAGGCGAATACAAGGGGGCAAACAACCGGATGAAGGCACACACAGACGGAGGTGTAGGGTGATGGGCGATCACGAAGCGAACAGGCCAGATATCAAAATAAACTGTAGAGATTTCTGGCAGCGGTGAATAATAGTGAGGAAAACTTTCGGAGCACTGTGAGGAAAATGTACAGTAAGCCAGTGTGGTGAGGAAGCCCACCGTAACAATGAAGCAATGCACTGAAACACTACGACTCCCCCAGCACACCTGCCGGGGCACTTGCGATGCAGTGAAAGCTGCTAACACTAGCGTTCTGCGAACAGTGCTCACGTACACTTGGGCCTCCGGCACGGGTCGACGCGTTTCTCTCCGCGACGCCGGCCGCCGCCATTCCTGAACGCACGGGGGCTGCCAGTCTCAGGTGTGACGCTTCGCTGGCCTCGGAGGAATACCAGCCGAGACCCCGGCGCTTCTCAGCCGCCAGAGCCGGAGCCCGCCGGTCCGGCTGGCTGCCTGATCAGCTTCGGTTTGTCCAACAATGACTCGCGCTCTCAGGCGTGGGAAAAGAGATTACGCGTGTGCGACCGTGTCCACCGAGCATAACAGTTCTCCAGCGGGCTGCCGTTGTGGCGGAGGTTTCACTGGGCAAGTCTGAGAGTGTTTACGCCGTGGGGGCGGGCGCTCGGCGGGCGCCAACGGGTGAAAATGCCATCCCATGCACCCGCCGTCAGCTTGAGGTTGTTGCGAGTATCAGCTCAACGCAGTAAGTCCGCGGCGCACATCCAGCATGAGTCGAATGTCAAGGGTTAAAGTGAACCGGTTGCGGCTCGGGCACGGTGAGAGAATGTTTTGTAGTGACAACATCGCCCTGCGACTGTAGGGTGCCCGCGGTATCGCTCTGACATTGATGTGGTAACGTAGGCGGAGGGCAGGAGACTGGGAGCATGACATGCCGTCTCCCATGCCAGTCAGTGTGTTGTTTGTCAACACATTCTGAGGTTCGTTTTTTGGGTGAGGCTAGAATAATTCCGAAGCGTCTGTCGTCTTGGAAATGCATAAAGTTTAAACACACACACACACACACACACACACACACAACACACACACACACACACACACACACACACACACACACACACACCACACACACACACACACACACACACACACACACACACACACACACACACACACACACACACATATATATATATATATATACATATATATATATATATATATATATATATATATATATATATATATATATACCCAACATATGCACTGACACCAAACGCAAGTAAATTGAAACTGCGCACTAACGCTGCGTTGATGCCTCGACAACTTTCGCATTCTTTTCCTCCCTACAAAGTCACAATACGCTCTTTAGGCGGAGAAACTGCACGTGCAGCTGGTGCCAGTTGGGACGCCCACGGCCACACAGCAGTGAGATGATCTAATACGTCCGCCGCGCCAGCCATCTCCCTGTACGACAGGCGCACAACGAAAGTGAAATCGTCCCCGTACATTGGACGCACTCAGTGCCGGCCACCTTCATCGATCACGCAGGCGAGGCGGCTCCAAACAGGGGCGGAGCAAGGCGCACTGGTTTGGGAGGGGCATGCTTGCAGCGCCATTACGAATTCGCCGACATTCGCAACTGTCGTCGAACAGGTCGCCCTCCATTTGGGAACAGTGCTTCCAGTGCCCTCTCACTGAATGTGACTAACGAAATAGCCCCGGAAATGGCCCAAGGTGCTCGAGAAGCGAGTGCCGCGCTGTGTCTGGCTATACAGCCGGTAGCAGAAATACTATCGAAAGCGAACGCAGAGTCTGATCGTTATCACTTGTTCTGAGCAACTGTCGCGCGAAGAAAGTGACCTAGTTTAAGGTTAGTTTTTAGGGCTCCAGCATCCTTGAGCCTTCATTTAAGGCCACGCGCGGTGATTCCTTGCTCTTCTTTGCCTTATGGGAGTACGTCAAATCCCTATTACTGGTCCACAGAATTTCTCCACGAACGTTTAGCGCTCAAAGCGGCCAATACTTATGGACTCCTCTATTGAAAGCGAAAGCCTGTCTGTGCGTTCACTGAAGACAATTTCTTTCACTGACCCGACCGCCACTTCCCATGACCTATACCTTTCTAGAGGGCAACGTACGATAATTGCACAAGTATTGTCTTGTCCATTTATGGTAAGATGCACCATGCGCCGGTGTCACGTATTTGCCGATTTTGTTGGCACACTTATGAAGGTCCGAGCCAAGCTGAAAACAGCAGTTTCATATATACAGGCCCAAGCTGAAAACAACGATGGGCAAAGGCGTAAAGCCTCACGTGCTCACAAGGACATGCGTACGATTGATTGCCTATATTGAAGGAGAAGTGGGGCCGATTGATTGCCTATATTGAAGGAGAAGTGGGGCCGATCGATTGCCTATATTGAAGGAGATGTGGGGCCGATTTTGGATGGCCGATGCAAGACATGCACCTTCGCGATGCAGCAAATCACTCCAAATTCTCCGACTCTCTTCGCGTTTCAGCTTCCAAATACTCCTCTCTTCTCAGTAGAGGATATGCGCCGCGCCGAATATTCCTCAAGCCGCGACAGTACCGGCGTACGTACGTGCATTCAGCCCAAGCAGATGCACGGAGGCGGACGGCCTTGGCCGGCACCACACGTGGGCAGAGCCCCGTGACCGTGCTCTATGCCGACCCAGGCGTCACCTCTGCAGCCCCCCCCCCTCGCTAGCTGGGCCCGGGCCACAGCGAGCGAGGGCGTGAGGAGACGTGCGGCCACATCGGCCTGATCACGTGACGTGGCTGGAATTCCCGAGTCCGCGAGGCTTTGTACGCACCGACAAAAAACAATGTGCCTGGCTGGGGTTTCACGGCTGTTTACAGCGACGGACTGGGTCAATGTCAGGGTTCCCATGCGTCGAACCCGGCTTTCTGTTTCACTCGGATGAGGCATTGAGGTCAGGAGACGCCGGTTGGGAAAACCCGAGCCGATGTGAGTGCGCGGTCTCGTAACTGGCGACTGGTGAGCAAACTAGATGCCTGGTAGCTGCAGAGACGGGTATGACCTGCTCCCCGCGGTCGTCCAGAAAACCTCCAAAACTCACCGACCAGACCGCAGCGATATGCGCCTAATCTGTCGTCGTGCAGTGGACGTCACGTGACGGGCGCTGCTGAGAGCGGCTGGTCTCGGGTCATAGTCACGTGGTGACAGGTCGTGCGGTCAAGGCCGTGCCGTTCCTGGAGAGCGGCCACACGGGTCTATCGGCCGCAAGGAGCCGGATTTGTCTGTGATGAAACGCGGCGCGGCCCGGTCCTCGGCTCTGCTGTTGCACAATCCGGCGTCCCGCGTGTGTTATGGACAGCTAATGGAACTCTGTCCGGGACGGTGCGTGAGTGGGCGTCGCTGACCATTCCGCGTGGTGGTGACGTCACGGCCTGCGTGAGCGACCGCTCGGCATCAGATACGGGACGCGTCATGCTAATACATTGTAATGGTGAGAGCTGCGTCAGCAGCTGCTGTGAACAGCCGAGGTTGGGGAGGCGGAGTAAGGAGAAGAGATAAGAGAGAAAGTAGAGAGAGAGAGAGGGAGAGAGAGAGAGAGAGAGAGAGGAGAGAGAAGGAGAGAGAGAGAGAGAGAGAGAGAGAGAGAGAGAGAGAGAGAGAAGAGAGAGAGAGAGAGAAGAGAGAGAGAAGAGAGAGAGAGGAGAGGAAGAGGAGAGAGGAGAGAGACGAGAGAGTGAGAGAGAGAGAGGAGAGAGAACAGAGAGAGAGATGAGAGAGGAGAGAGAGAAGAGAGAGAGAGAGAGAGAGAGAGAGAGAGAGAAGAGAGAGAGGAGAGAGGAGAGACCCCAAAAGTGTCTTTCAGCCTCGGACAGCGCTGAACAGACTCAGCATGCACCCAGCAGTCTCGGCTGTATGTTTGCCCTCAGTGAGTGGGCTGGTGAGGATGCCACATGCATCCAAACGATAACCTGCTGAGAGACGAGCAGCGCTTCATTGTGAACATCGCTGGTCCTTATCTCTGAAAATGAGTGCCAACTGCTGCTATAGGACATTTTACTGCTTCATTGCCGCTACAGCTTTGTGGATATTGGGAGCAACCAACCGATTCGTCTCAGTCTTTTTATGCCCGCTGAAATCACTGGAGATGCACACAGTGCAGGCCAGGTGAAATAAACCTCCAGTGTACATACTTGAATACCGTATTCAATTTCTGTCTTTAAGATATTCCAATAAATACTCGTATACCAGCCTTGATGAATTACGGAACTGTGTCAAAAGTGACCATTTGCCAATTACAGTTGCCACCTGCTGGGAGGCGGACGACGTCCCAGGCGACCTTGCTTGCGACCCGAGGTGCATAGGAGCGTAAAGAGCATGCAGCGAAGTGAAGCGCCTTGAACCATTTGCACGGATATCACTGAAGAAAATTTATTAGCTACTGCATTTAGCGCAAAAACATTTATCATATATATGACCAATCTCACTTAAAAGCGTCGTATATTTCGAGAAGGAAGTACAATAATCGTTAAGGCAAAGCCATGATGCCAGTACACTGCAAGCGCTGTCGCCCTTAAGTGACTCCTAGATTAATATTTGGCAAGAATGAATAGTGAAAATGAGTGAAGTCTGAGCTACACGCGGGGCCGTGAGTTCTGTTTCAGCCGCATGGTAATCTCTTGTTCTGTACCCAACCACAATTGCATCGGTTAGTCAGAACCGGCTAGATCAGTTTCACCACCCCACTTTGGACATAAGAGGCTGATCGTTTGACGTCGACCTCTGGAGCTTTCCTCCCTTCCGAACAAGTGTGTCACTGAAGGTTCCACTGTCATCGCATTCCCCTAACACTCATCCATCCCCGACAAGTAACATCCGACCGCCGCGCGCGGCGCGAGCACACACCACCGCAGCCTCCTTTCCACGCCTGCCTCACCTGGGCGGGCGTCTGCACGCGCGTGGAGATCCTCCGGTCTTGTGTCAGTGTCCCACGCCGCAGCCGGCTGCTCCGCTGCGCCCTCCGTCGCCGACCGAGCGCGACTCGCCACTGACCCAGGTGCGGCGGGTGTGACCTGGGCGCCCGTGTAGCGCCGCCACCGCCCGGCCTGCGCCAAGTGACCGGCGGCCGTGGCTCCCTTTCACCTCGGAGGCTCGCGCAGCCGGCCGCTGGGTGGCTGAGGCCCGCCCGGCCGGCCTGAGACTTTCCCGGCCCCGAGAGACGATGATCAAACACGACTGGGACCCGCGGCCCTGCAGCAGGCCTTGTCACGGCGCCGCCGCACAGTCGTCTTCATTCATAGCACCTTGTTGATGGAATTGAAGCCGATGAGTTTTGCGTGACTCGTCTGTGCGCTTGAGCTTATTCGTTGCTCTGATCTGTGCCCTCATTTCCATCCTCATCCTATCTCTAATCCCCGCTACCGCCTTTCACCCTTTGCCCCTCACATGCTCCTGTAATTTTATATCCTTGTTATCGCAGCCCCACATCCCGCAGCCACTTTTGATGGCAGCTCTCTGGCCATCCAATAATTTGCTGCATTGTAACCGAATCTGTTCCTAAGCAACTGCTGCGAACAACATCTCGTGTCATCCCTCGTCTGCTGGCCTCCCAGTCTCGTGTCCCTGAGGCTGCCGCTGTTATTACGTCAGGCACCCTCCCCCGAAGTCGCCTTTCCTTCCCTAAAAACCGCCACTGATGACAGCACTACCGGCCACCCATTCAGCTGCGCTCCCCTTCCTCTTCCGGAGTTGAAAGACGAAATAAGAGGAAGTCGCCACTGATGACGGCAACTCAAGCCATTCATTATCCGTAACCATCCTCTTTGCTCTTTCCAGAAGCGGCTGCCGATCGCAGCACTCTTAGCCACTGCTATCCGCTGCCGCCCCCCTTGCTCTTGCCTGACACCGCCGCTGATGACGGCGCCCCTCGCCCCGTCAGCTGCGGTGGCGTCAGGGCAGCTGGCGCCTCTCTCCGTCTTAGGAACACCTCCGGGGAGGGATCGCCGCCAGGTTTCCCCTGGGACTGTCAGCTGTCGGGTGCCGGTCCCGGCCGTCGATCACATGACACCGACCACAGTCACGCACTTTCCCGCCATCTCGAGTATTACGTGGATGTCATCATCTTTACGACCAGGCTCACGCAAGACCAGGTGCTTTGTTTTTGGGTGAAGAGTGCATGGATGCCCATGTTTGTAAGACAATGATGTCGGACATATACTTTCTGTTATCATTTATTGGTGCCTGAGGAAAAGAGTAGATTTTGCATAAAGCACATGCTAAGCTGTTTCTTTGCTCCCGCAAAAGAGGTGGCACCTAGAGCTTCTCTTGCAAGATAATGGTCTATGAGTCGGTTGAGTGTCGCCATCCGGTCTTACCGTTGCTATCGTGATACCACCCGTTCTAAATATTGTAACTTTGTGAGAACACATTGGTTTGTTAGAAATAGTAATACAAAACTGTAAGGAGACGGTCTGCAATTACATGGATATGCCATTAAGTTTTACTGCCATTATTAGCTGTAAGGAAATTCCCGCGTACCCATATCAAAGGCACATAGGTGCGTTATTACAGAGGCACGGAAGAGCACAGCGTCTATTCGCAGGGAATGCTATCTTTATCTCAGATGTCAGCTGTCCTTGCGCCAGGTTGAGAACAGCTTTCTTGCCAGCTAGCTTGGCTTGCTGACGGAATGAGCCGCTGCTGGGTTCACTGGGGCGAGTGTTGTCCTGTTTGTGATCTCCGCTCACCTCTCCCTAGGAGCGGCGGCCGCTCGGGCGCGGCGGTTCACGGCCGGGTTAGAAAGTGCGTCCGGGGAGATCACCAGGCCCTGCCTCTGACAACTGCCGGACCTGCCGCCGCCGCAACGCTGTCTTCGGAGCCCTCCGCAAGTGGACGTGGTGCAGCATGGACATGGACAGCATGTACATGACTTGGGCAGATACATTTTTCAATAGGGGCCGGATGGACGCCTGCGCGATGTTTCTTCTTGAGGGAAGATCTCCATTCTGGTGCAGGTGTAATGTCAAGAACTACCGATGTCCCGGGAAGGCCTAGCGGCGTATCAGGACGCAGGTGTGGAAAGGCCATGGGCGTAGGAACAGGGAGAGGGGGGGGGGGGGGGCAGCAATGTTACCTGGGCCCCCACTTTTCAGATTAAGGATGCATTTGGCTTACTTTTGCACTACATCAAACATGCATGCCTATTTACCCAGTTCACCAGGCATCTCCCTTAAGATGTTCATCTTTTTCGTCTGCTCATTGGCCATCGCTTAGTGTTGCAGTCACAAGACTGACGCCACACGGTCCGGAGACTGCAACGCCGGGTGTCGAGGCTGCTATTGCTATGAGTTGCGAACGCACATGTTCAAGACCATATCACGTAATTCTCCTATCAGTTATCCACTCTGACAGGATCTTGAGCATTTTAAGATGAGCATGGGTTAGCCATGTTAATACAAATTAGGAACCCCATTTATCTACAGTCAGGGAGAACTCAATATCTCTGAAGAACACAGAAAACACGAAACTGAAGTCTATGCCACAACTCTCGGACTATCTGCGGTGATGAGGGATGTTGCTGCGTCAATGAGGGTTCCTGTGTTGATCCGGGGCTAACTGCGCGGGTCAGAAGGCCTCCCGTGTCAGGGATGGGAGGAATGTGATATGATATATTCTTCTGATGGCCTCCGGATCGACTAGGAGATCCGCCCCGATATGGGGTGGGATCAGTGACAGCCAGAAGACGCTTCGCCATGGAACGGAATGGCCCTTCAGTCCTTGAACGCGAAAACGGTAATGTACCCCTGGTGTTCCGCTCAAGAGGCCCCTTGGCCGAAAGGAAATAAGGGGTCTCATTATTGTGGAGTAAATGTGTGTCTCATTATTGTTGACTAGAGTGGGTCCAAATCAGCTTAAAAACCCCCAAGGCCATGCCATGTTTGCCTGAGAACGTTCATTTTTTCAGAATGGATTATTGAAACAAATAACATCAAAATGCCTGAACATGCCTGCCCGCAACCTCGAGAGCAAGGACAGGGATGGTCTGGGCTGCAACTTCCGCAAAACCGAAAAGTTTCGGCCACAGCAAGTGCCACCAGACGGCGGGTGCCGTGTTAATCTGGCTTGGGAGTAGACAAAAACCTGCAAAAACACGAAAATAGATATTTTACCTTCAACTGCTTCCAGTTCAACCACTAGATTCCAGCCCCACTTCGCGGTGCTTTACAGCCATTCTGTTCTTTCTATCAGCCTGAAAATTGCACAAGTGAAATATGCGCATCAGACTTGCCTTCTAAATGTAAGAGCTGATGTCATGAAGCGTTTCAAGGATACCTTTTCAGAGGCGTCGTCATTGTTCAGTATCCATTCATTGGCCACAACTTAATATTAGCTGCTAGGCGGACGATACGCGGCCTACGGAAACTGCAGCGCCTGGTGTCGAGGTTTTGTCGTTTAAGATTTGCGAGCACGCATGTTAAAAAACACGTTACCATAATTGCATCACTTATCGATTGTGAATGAATGATGGGCAGTTTGAGACAAACATGGATTGGCTATGTTGATACACATTGTTGACCACTCGATCTGCAATCAAATTTTCATCTTCAAATTTGGATCAAACAAATTGATCTACAATCTACCTTCGCAATGTCCTCAATGTCTGTAGAACCGAGATAAAATTTTGACCAAACATCTAAATTCTATCGGTTTAGAGAGAGTCACATAACCACTGTAAATGAAGAGCGCCAGTGATTTCTTCCATGCAGTCGTTCAACGCCTGGTTTCTGCAGTTTATTGACCTCTCAAAATACAATCAGAATCGAGCTCACGGTAGCTACTGGTTTTTGTTCTGGCTACAAGGTAAAAATAACAAGGAATGACGACAACCGTGTCACTTGTTAACAAGCAAGCTATATCCGGGGATTTTGGGGGGGATCACCATAAGATGGGCTTTTGTCAACCTTGCGTTCCCCTTGGCAAGGCTCTGGCTACGCCCCTGCCTACACACAAAAGCTAATCAAGTGGTATACGTTGCAAGATGAACAGCGAAGTGGCCGTCGGGCGAATTCATTCCTAAGGCAGACAGCTTCCCGGAGACTATTTTTCTGCGATAGCCTGGTATGAGGGAAGATAATTCGGAAAAAGATACTGCTGCAGGTGTCCAGCACATGTTTCATACAACACGTAGTGGCAACAATGATCCAAAAGCATACAACAATACAGCCATACGATCAGTTCGCAGTCAGTCATG